TTAGAATCATAGAATGGTTTGTGTTGGAAAGGACCTGTAAAGGTCATCTAGTCCAACCCCTTTGCAATGAGCAGGGACATCTTCAACTAGATCGGGCTGTGCAGAGCCCCATCCAACCTGAGTTGGAAAGTTTCCAGCCATGGAGCATCGACCACTTCTCTGGGCAACCTGTGCCAGTGTTTCACCACTTTCATTGTTAAAAATTTCTTCCCTATATCTGGTTATAGGATTATGAACATCGGGCAACAAACAACAATATTATCAAATGAGCTAGTGAATCTTGAACTTACATCAAAACAGACAGACTTTGGATACCATGGACAAGTGATTCCTTACTCTTAACTCACTCTAACCAAATTGACGGGTTTTGCTTCACCCTACACCCATGTCTCATGGATACGGGTACCGCACAATACTGTGCTGTATCCATACACTGGATACAAACTAAGAATAACATTTATTTCTATGACAAAAGGAAAAATAGTTGCTTGCCATTTAGAATCATAGAATGGTTTGTGTTGGAAAGGACCTGTAAAGGTCATCTAGTCCAACCCCTTTGCAATGAGCAGGGACATCTTCAACTAGATCGGGCTGTGCAGAGCCCCATCCAACCTGAGTTGGAAAGTTTCCAGCCATGGAGCATCGACCACTTCTCTGGGCAACCTGTGCCAGTGTTTCACCACTTTCATTGTTAAAAATTTCTTCCCTATATCTAGTCTAAATCTACCCTCTTTTAGTTTAAACTCATTACCCCTTAGCAGGGCCTGTAGCAATAGGACAAAAAGTCTGTCCCCATCTTTCTTATAACCCCTTTTAAGTACTGAAAGGCTGCAAGAAGTGCTTCCTGCAGTCTTCTCTTCTCCAGGCTGAACAACCCCAATTCTCTCAACCTTTATTCATAGGAAAGGTGTTCCAGCACTCTGGTCATTATTGTGGCCCTCCACTGGACCTGTTCCAACAGGTCCATGTCTTTCCTGTGCTGAGGGCTCCAGAGCTCATTTAATCATACTTTTGTGCCTATCCTTTTTACCTGTTTGCTACACTTCACCTCTCTCCTCTCACTTCCCACCCCACTAGTAGGAAGGTCAAGCATTGTTTTACCATACTGATACTTATATGCAAACAAGGACATATCAATACTACAAGGTCAAATACACCTTCAGACAATTTAATAAAGACAATTTTCTGGACATAATGTGGATGTAGCTTTGCTGGAGAAAGCAAGTCTAATAGTGTATTCAAATTTGACTCAGCAGAGTTCTTAAAGGTCTTATGAATGTTTATATGAACCTCTACAAGTTTGATAGCTATGGAAGATGTCTTTGAACAGATATGACAGTCTCATTCTACTTCAGTTCTGAAGCATGCTTCAGAATGGTGGCGGTTATGAAATAATTAGGAGTCAAATTCCTGACTGAAATTTCCTTCATATCTTACATATCCAGATTAAGATATTATCCATGGTGACATAAAAAAAAATTTTTCTAGTATAAAATTCTTCATATAATATAGAACAGATAAAATAAAACTAAGATTGCAGTACTTAAGTTGAAATGTTGCCACCATAGTGCTTTATAGCTTTAAAAATTTGGTATTACATGTGAAGTATGAAAAAGGCCTAACCACAATGCATTGCCCATCTTTCATTTATTGCGTGAAAATATATCGTGTCATCACTTTCTTTTTTTTTTGTTTTAGCTTGCAGTGTCCTTTAATCAAGGGTGAAGAATTGCCATCAAATTCTCCACTAGATTTAGAAGCTTTGTTTGGCTTGAATATCGAGCAAGTTACATTTGTTCTTGTCTTATGTTGGACATTTTAGCATAACGACACTGTTGCATTACTTTCTATTTCCTCCTCTTAATTTTAAACTTACCAACCTCTCATTTTTAGTATTAAAAAAAAAAGATTGAAGTTTGCTTGTGTGTGCATAAGAAAATATGAACAAAGAGACTATAAATCACTTTTTGTTTCTGATCCTGAATGTGACTTATTTATGGGTAACAATGTCAAACATATTACGTGTAAAACTACTTAGCTTAACTCTGAGTCATTTATCTGTGAAAATACACCTTTGAAATATGGTGTATGTATAAACACCCTAGGTATGGAAAAAATTTATGCATGTGACATTAAATTATTTAGGTAAGAATTTTACCAAAGGCAGGTCATTTAGTTTTCCTCAGCTCTAAAGAATTCCCCTTGAAAGATTACTGATCAGGAAAGAAATGGGTTGAAAAGTGCTGTGTAAGGACACAGGAACACCAATTACTTGCTTTTTGCTAAGTAACTTTCTACTACTTCAACTAATCCCATACACATGTCCCATATACTAAGTGACAAACTGTACATAGATTGCTGGTATGCTGGATTCGTGGTTGGTAAATCTCTGAACACTTAAATCATATAGTGTCTTGGCTCTCAAAGTAACCACTAGTTTAGCACTAGCATTGCTACAATATAACTGAAGTCAGTTTTGGAAATGCAAGAGGAGATTTCTATGGTTTCCTTTCAATGTATATGTTATGTTGACACAAATGTTTTCCGCAAATAATTATCAGATCAATCTATTTTTAAAAAGACTCATTGACAATCAATTCCTTCTATCTCAAAGTAAATATTTACTATTATATATACAACAGTATAATGCTGGACTACATTTATAATATACTGCAAAACTTGTGGGATTGCCAAATTCCAACTTCTCTAAATGGTTATAGAAATTCTTCCAAGAATCCAGGCACAAATACAACTGTAAATGCTCATTAATAATTTAAAATGTTTGTGGCAAATATGTAACTGGACAAATAGACAATTAATTTTCTTAAACTGATATCACAACTATTATACTTTTACTGAAAGAAAGCTTTAATGGACTAAATTACCAAGTGAGTTACAAGCTACTTCGAAAACTGATAAATATTACATTTACCATGAGGGGTGAAACGTACTTTGTACTATTACAAAATAAGCTGGATAAGAATCTGTTTATGAGTCTTTTCCTGAAGCACTTAACCACTGCTAAACAAGTACAAATACTGTTGTGCTCATGTCCCATGGTTTGAAGGATTCTACAAACTTATTTTCAAAACAATGATGAAACATGTATGGTGTACACTACCTTTGCAAGTGTGTAACTGGGACCCGCCCCCGCCACTCAAAGGGAAAAAACCATCACTGAATCTCAGCCAGGAAAGCGAGGCATTTTCCCTGAATTCTTTCTAGGAATTCCTTCCTTAAGCTGCTACTTTTTAGTACAGTCCATAAAGTATATTTATTACTCTCACAGGTGCATGGCTTTGACCAAGGTCCATTTACTCTGCCTCCTATGTAATCATATAAAAACTATTATGCCAAATGATTTGGAGTTAAAAACATCTTCCACTCTTAAATATAGACAGTCTTTATAAAACTTATGCCAGAAAAAACTAGCTGTCCTTACATATGATTTTTTTTTTAAATTAATAGAAATACGTGTCAATTGACCAATAAGGGAAAAAAGTTGACTGAAATACTTTTGATATTAAAGAACTCTATGGAATGAATGGAAATTACATTCCTATTAGATAAACCAGAGGATTTTGTTTCTTTGAAGATTATATTTTCATTGTTTCACTGATGTGCAAAAACTTCACAAGGACAAGACAGACTAACAATAGTTAGACAATGGAATAATGGCAACAAGCTCCAACTGTGTGTAAGTGGAAAGAAAATGGAACACAAATGGAAATCTAGGAGATTAAGGACAGATGAGTTGCTATTGAAGTGCCTGCAGGAAATTACTGTCAATTCAAAATGGTGTGATCTAGCTGTCAATAGTGAGACATCTGCGTTAGATGGACTAGACCACCTGCACTAGAGGTCCTATTGACCAATTTATTTATAGTACAGGCTATTTTAATAGCAGACCTATTTTCACCTTCCCCACAGCTTATCCTTTGTAAATGACCAACTTCAGATAGAAACAAGCTCAAACATCCTTATGGATCGTGTTTTCCCCAGACATCTGTTTAAATGTCTTTGTCAAGACGACCCATACTGCTGAACGTAAACTCCATGCACAGCATAATGGAAGAGAGCTCATCCAACACTAATCTTAACTAGCAGCAGAACGAAACTTCTGAAGTTAAATCCTATTTCCCATAATACTATTCAGCCCATAAAAGCAGGGAATAGAAAAGGCCCAAGACATTATTCCTCTTTCCTTTTCAGGACAATGTCACCAAATAGATTCAAGCTTAGTAATTTTGTTCATTGAGAATACTGAAATAACTGAATTTGATCTCGGGCTGCTACCGTCATATGAAAAAGTTTTTTTAAATTATCTTTTATTTTTATAAAGAGCCTCAAATGGGAGAAGTGTGTTAACAACTTCTCCTACTGAAAGAAAATCAAACTGTCTTCTAAGTTACATTTTACTGTTTACACACAAGCATTAAACTGCAAGTATATAGCATTAACGGAATACCTGAAACCAAGTTTCAGAACATTACAATATTTCATAACAAGACCAGTGCACTGGCTATAAATCATGGTCAATAGAATACCAATACATTTTCAGGCTGTCTATAATATAGGTTGAGAGGAAAAGTTAATGACTTTGTGTGCATTCAAACTACACAATAAAGTTAATTTGTGAACATAAAATAGCATCTGTAATTGATACTGAAATGCTTTCAATGAACTGAACTCAGATCACAATTTCTATTTGACAGACTGCATTTATGCTTCATCTTTTAAGTTACTGTCATAAGAAATACTTTACATTTCAAGCAATGTTTTAATTCTTGCTTTACTGCTTTTTGGCTTGTGATGTACTTAAAAATCTATAAATATACATGAAGAAATATATCATAGTATCAAATGGTTTTAAAAAAGGAGTGACAAATCTGAAGACATAACTCCTGATTCTGTTTTCCTGTGCACTTTAAGACAGGTTTCACGATTAATAAACTTCACCAATTTCTCACTGTATGAAGTGAAACCCATTAGCAACTCACCCTCTTCTGCTCTTTAATATATTCCATCAGTTCCTCTCTTGTCCTTTTCACTGCTTCTTCGACTGCCTTTTCGTTTCGTTTTTGCTCTTCCATTAATGCTTCCTTGACAATTTCCTTTTTAAAAGGAAAACATGTAAGTGTAAATATTAAAAGTATTTCACAAATGTAATACAGACCATCCCTTGCCTTCCTACTAAAATTTTATCATAACCATTCTCCTTTCTCAATTATAGTTATCCTAAATGTATGCAATAACTTTACAAAAATTTATAAATTCAGTACTTGGATCACTAAAGGGCCTAAAGAAGATAAAAATAATCACTTTAAAGCTGTGTTAAGAGAAACATAATGTTCCCTGAGAGCAGAAGAAAAGGAAGTAATACAGGTGTTACATTCCAACAGAAGCAGGGTACTATTTGTTATTAATAAATAGAATAGAATACTTCCAGTTGGAAGGGACCTACAACAATCATCTAGTCCAACTGCCTGAGCACTTCAGGGCTGACCTGTTAAAGTTAAAGAAAATTATTAAGGGCAGTGTCCAAATGCCTCTTCAACACTGACAGTGTCGAGTACAGGGGGACAATCACTCCCCCAGTCCTGCTGGCCACCCTATTTCTGACACAAGCCAGGATGCTACTGGCCTTCTTGGTCAACTGGGCACACTGTCGTTATTAACTAAATAGTAAATTATTATTGCCATAAATGACAAAATATTAAATCAGAATAATGTGTACTAAGCAACACAGTTTGTACAGAGAAAGTAAAACTAAAAAACATAAAACATTTTTCACCACTTCTGTAAGAAAAAAAGATAAAAATTTAATTATTATTTAATTATTCACAGGCTTTCAGGCTCTTGTCCAAATGACTGAGTCTACCTTGTACATACACTCTTAGCCAAAGAAGAAATCAATTACTTTGTTGCAGTACTTAAAGCATCCAATTTAAAGTATTCCGTTAAAGCACCATACTTATTTATATAAGTATGGAATATACATAGGGAATAATAACTAACATAAGGAGAAATATATAACTTTAGAAATGTTTGTGAGATAAAATATAACCATTTTATTGCTTTTTTTACTGGTTTAATAAACATTTGTCAACCTACGGTGACACCTGCTTTAAATACAGAATCCCAGAATGCTAACTATTATGCATTCTTGGTGCTTTACAATTCTGTTTTGCAGAAAGTATTTTTGCAGGAACTCAATGCTATTAAATGGATTCACTCTGGAGAACAGGTGGAATTCTAAGGTTCTGGAAGTAGAAGATATTTATGAAGTTACGTAATTCATCTGTACATATAAAAGTGGCATTTTACTATATGGTATTAGTGTACAAAATAAAGAATACCACCACTACGTTGGACCAAACCCCATTTTTATTTAAACACTCTTCAGAGGAAGTGTTTCCACTGAAACAGAAACTGTTATTTCTTCCTCTTAGCTATTTACTCCTTTTCAGCCAAAATGGAATAATTTCTGCAAAATTATATTTTTGCTATCTACCTACAGAAAAAGTCTAATATCCCAAATTTGAAATGCACAGCTATGTAGTCCCCATTGTTCTGGAATACAGCAAATATGAAAACCATAGCTGTGAAAAGTGATTATCATTTTTTTCTATTTTAATGCAGTTAAAAAAAAAATCCCGAGACAAAGGTCTCTTTCACCACAGAACTCTGGCAAGACTAACAGAAAAGTTTTATAGAAATACGCTGTTCTCATAATTATATTCCCATGCCAGCTTAATTTGTGAAAAGGTCCCAAAATACTGTCTTGCATTAGAATGGAAAAAATTCCTATCATTTACCCATTAAACTCTTAAAAGCAAATTATAGAACTGATAAGGTGTTATATCTTAGTATGTAGAAAATCTTACATGAATAAAATACCCCTGGTATCAACACAGGCTGGGGGATGAAGGGATTGAGAGCAGCGCTGCTGAGAAGGACTTGGGGGTACTGGTGGACGAAAAGCTGGACATGAGCCGGCAATGTGTGCTCACAGCCCAGAAGGCCAACTGTATCCTGGGCTGCCTGAAAAGCAGCGTGGCCAGCAGGTCGAGGGAGGTGATTCTGCCCCTCTGCTCCGCTCTGCAGAGACCCCACCTGGAGTCCTGTGTCCAGCTCTGGAGCCCTCAGCACAGGAAAGACATGGACCTGCTGGAGCAGGTCCAGAGGAGGGACACAAAAATGGTCAGAGGGATGGAACACCTCTCCTATGAGGACAGGCTCAGAGAGTGGGGGTTGTTCAGCCTGAAGAAGAGAAGGCTCCGGGGAGACCTTATTGCAGCCTTCCAGTACTTAAAGGGGGCTTATAGGAAAGATGAGGACAGACTTTTTAGCAGGGCCTGTTGCGATAGGACAAGAGGTAACAGTTGTAAATTAAAAAAAGGGTAGATATTAGACTAGATATAAGGAAGAAATTTTTCACCATGAGGGTGGTGAGCCACTAGCACAGGTTACCCAGAGAGGTAGTAGATGCCCCATGGCTCGAAACATTCCGAGTCAGGTTGGACAGGGGTCTGCGCAACCTGACCTACTTGAAGATGTCCCTGCTCATTGCAAGGGGGTTGGCCTAGATGAGCTTTAAAAGTCCCTTCCAACCAAAGATTCTATGATTCTATGAATCAGCTAAAGTATGTTAACTTTCCTTTATGAATACTTTTACCAAAGTATTTGGTATCATGCTACTTGAATCACTGTATGAACAAAGGTCCAAATAAAAATACAGTTAAATTCTACAAATATATTTAAAAAAATGCAAGAAAACAGAAACCACTAGCAACACTTTTATAGAAGACTTTTTTTTTTACACCAAGATTAAAACAGAAAAACTAAAATTGGAAAGAATTCTTTTCCATTTAGAATGGCAAGTTCCCAAAATTAAGACCAGTATTAATTCTCTGAAGAATATACACTTACGTATAACAGTGAAAGCAAAGTTGTATTAACATCCTGTTGAGGCAATAAGCAAAGCATACTGTAACTATGCTGGTTTTTACTCCTTGTTATCAAATTTGTTATGTTATTTTTAACAATTGTATACCCTTATTTGCTTTACCACAAGGAATAAGATTACTGAATATACTATGAAGTTGCCTTAACTTTCTACTTACCTTTTTTTCCCTTTGTCACATTCATAATATTTATAAAGAAAGAGTTTTATAATGAGAAGATACAAGGGTTCTCTTAGCTTCTGTAGAAATTCTACTTATGGCCGGTCACAAGTGGTGTCCCCCAGGGCTCAGTATTGGGGCCAGTTCTGTTTGGTACCTTTATCAATGATATGGACAAGGGGATCGACTGTACCATCAGTAAGTTCACAAACACCACCAAGTTAGGTGGGAGTATTGATCTGCTTGAGGGTAGGAGGGCTCTACAGAGGGATCTGGACAAGCTGGATCGATGGGCCAAGGCCAACTGTATGAGGTACAACAAAGCCAAGTGCCTGACCCTGCACTTGGGTCACAACAACCCCATGCAATGCTACAGGCTGGGGGAAGGGTGGCTGGCGAGCTGCCTGGTGGAAAAGTACGTGTGGGTGTCGGTCGACAGCCAGCTGAATATAAGCCAGCAGTGTGCCCAGGTGGCCAAGAAGGCCCATAGCATCCTGGCTTCAGAATGCATCAGAAATAGTGTGGCCAACAGAAGTAAGGAAGTGATCATCCCCCTGTACTCGGCACTACTAAGGCTGCAACTGAAATACTGTGTTCAGTTTTGGGCCCCTCACTACAAGACAGACACTGAGGTGCTGGAGAGCATCCAAAGAAGAGCAATGAAGCTGGTGAAGGGTCTAGAGAACAAGTGCTTGAGGGTAGGAGGGCTCTACAGAGGGATCTGGACAAGCTGGATCGATGGGCCAAGGCCAACTGTATGAGGTACAACAAAGCCAAGTGCCTGACCCTGCACTTGGGTCACAACAACCCCATGCAATGCTACAGGCTGGGGGAAGGGTGGCTGGCGAGCTGCCTGGTGGAAAAGTACGTGTGGGTGTCGGTCGACAGCCAGCTGAATATAAGCCAGCAGTGTGCCCAGGTGGCCAAGAAGGCCCATAGCATCCTGGCTTCAGAATGCATCAGAAATAGTGTGGCCAACAGAAGTAAGGAAGTGATCATCCCCCTGTACTCGGCACTACTAAGGCTGCAACTGAAATACTGTGTTCAGTTTTGGGCCCCTCACTACAAGACAGACACTGAGGTGCTGGAGAGCATCCAAAGAAGAGCAATGAAGCTGGTGAAGGGTCTAGAGAACAAGTCTTATGATGAGCATCTGAGGGAACTGGGGTTCTTTAACTTGGAGAAAAGGAGACTGAGGGCAGACCTTATCACTCTCTACAATTACCTAAAAGGAGGTCATAGCGAGGTGGATGTTAGTCTCTTTTCTGAAGTAACAAGTGACAGGGCAAGGAGAAACGTTCTCATGTAGTGGCAGGGGAGATGTAGATTGGATAATAGGAAAAATTTCTTTACCGAAAGGGTTGTCAAGCATTGGAACAGGATGCCCAGGGAAGTAGTTGAGTCACCATCCCTGGAGGTATTGAAAAGACGCATAGAGGTGGCATTTAGGGACATGGTTTAGTGGCGGACCAAGCAGTGTTAGGTTAGCAGTTGGACTCAATAATCTAAGGGTCTTTTCCAACCTACATGATTTGATGAGTCTATGGTACATCTACCATACTGTAGTTAACCAAAAGAAGTACTGATATACCTCCCAAATATATTAAAATTTATTACTTCATAATAGAAAATTATTTAATATAGAGTACATAAGGAAACGAAAACTGAAATCTCACTATTTCAGATATATACTAATTATACTTACAATCTGCAAATTATCTCAGTCACAGTCTGCCATAACAATGGTACTTCAACAGACGTATCATGTAGCCATCACACTGGACAATCTCATATGACTGTAGACCAAGGCCCGTACTTTAGTGGGCTTCATCTCAATTCTATTTGCCAGAGTCCTGGTAATACTCCAGAATGCTTCTTATTTTTGGCTATTAAACTTCACCAACCGTACTGTAGGATGAATCGTACATGAAACTCTTTCTCTGTGATTTGAATGTCTGTTTCTCAACTGAGTTTAAACATCATCCTGT